AAAGGTCTAGTGAATCATGTTGAAAGTACGTCATTTGAGTACTGTTTACCAACATGGAGTTGATGCAATAGTGCAAAGAGTTTAGATGATTTTGGAACTCAAATTTATTTTGTGTCAGTACCGTGAATAACAACCTTCACCATTGCACAAAGGAAACAAAAAAAATTCAATATTTTTTTCATTTGAATTTATATGACTCGAGCGCCATCGACCTTGAGATTTATGAAACATCTAGTGAATCATGTTGAAAGTACGTCGTCTGAGTACGGTTTACTGATTTTAGAACCCAAATTTATTTTATGTCAGTACCGTGAATAACACCCTTCACCATTGCACAGAGTGAGCAAAAAGATTTTACGAATAACTTAATTTTAATTTATATGACTCGAGCGTCATCCAGCTTGAGATTTATGAAAGGTCTAGTGAATCATGTTGAAAGTACGTCATTTGAGTACTGTTTACAAACATGGAGGTGATGTAATAGTGCAAAGAGTTTAGATGATTTTAGAACTCAAATTTATTTTGTGTCAGTACCGTGAATAACAACAACCCTCACCATTGCACAGAGGAAACAAAAAAAAATTCAATATTTTTTTCATTTGAATTTATACAACTCGAGCGCCATCGACCTTGAGATTTATGAAACGTCTAGTGAATCATGTTGAAAGTACGTCATCTGAGTACTGTGTAAAAACATGGAGTTGATGAAATAATGCAAAAACTTTAGATGATTTTAGAACTCAAATTTATTTTTTGTCAATAATGTAGATAACACCCTTCACCATTGCATAGATGGAGCAAACAGCATTAAACAAAGATTTGAATTTGTCTCAGATGTAAACTAGTACGCATTTAACTATGATTAATATTAGAAATTTTTCTAGAAATACAAAATACATATTCATTTTCCCTTGAACGATTTACGGAATATTTTTTTTTTCATAGGATCATTTGTTTCTCTGATACCCCCCTTGTTGCTTCTACTGGGACATCCGGTGTGATAAAGATATTTATATTTTTCGACACTTCTTTCAACCTGGATAGAGCTAGAACTATAGTTTACTAAATATTAACCGAAAGAAAATATTCTAAAAACGGAAGCATGCAAGCGTATACGTGTTGAACCATAAATAAAACACGGTTGAGCAATGGAGCATACAAAAATTTTAAAATACGTCGCAGGACCAGACGAAAAAGTAGCTTTTAAAATTTTCCATCCACCAGCCGTGACTTAATGTATAAACACGAGATGGATGAGACCACGTTTGCCGCGTTTAAAGTTCAAATGAAGTATATGTGTGCACCGTTGCCGCGCTCAAACAAAGTTCTTTAAAGTGCGATGTGACGTTTTTTTTTTTCGCCGGATCCGTAATTTTCAGCACTGTTATGGTACGGCAAAAAACCACCGTATTTATTCGATTGAATTTCCAGTTCTGGCAAAAACTGTTCCAATTAAAAGTGAAGACGGGGATGCATAGCGGAAAATCCTATTAAATCGACTGCTCAACGTGTTACATGCGCTAATAAACTTAGTCGTCTGCTTTTAAAATCGATAGGAGTATTTTTCTTGTTCTCGGAATTGCTCTCGTTGCATTGCAATAGTATTCTGCAGTGGGTACTGGTTCCGAAGCGTGCGAAATAATATATTATTCACAAAATTTGATAAACATTAATTTAGTCACGACTTTTATTTTGCACCAGCGGATCTAGTGACCGGGGAGTTTTTGCGTAGAAAAATAAAACGAGTGCATTTACTGAAGTGTGACTGACGTGTGTGACCATCAAAATTGATAACACGTCAAAAAATCATCCCTGGGTAAAATCTAGCGGAAACTGATTGCCCCGAAACCCGTGACCAAAATATCGCAAATGTTCGTAGGCCTAAGGGTGTTATTTTTACATAAAATCTATTTAGTGGCAAATTTTTAACTTCTAACCATGTTCTTCCCCTCTTTTTCACAATCTTTCCCAAAGTGCTGTCCCACGTTTCTCTGGGTCTTCCTGAGGAAAACTGACGAGGTGCGTGCGTCTTTTGCACGATAATGCACCTGTCCATACTGCTGGTGTTGCACAAGCTGCCATTTTAGAGTGTGGGCTCCAATCTATCGATCATCCTCTCTATAGTCCAGATATGGCCCCCAGCGACTATTATTTGTTTGGATATTTGAAAAATGACTTACGTGGACGGCGGTTTAACGACGAAGTTGAGTTAAAAGAATATTTTTTTAAAGGGATTGAGTTGTTAAAAAAGAGATGTAATGAGTGTATTGAAGTTAAGGGGGATTATATTGAAAAATAATACAAAATTGTTACTCTACTTTATTTCTTTCATATTCAGGCCGGAAATTTTGGCGTCGCCCTCGTATTAGTTGATATGTAAGTGATTATTAGTTGGTATGTAAGTGATTATTAGTAAAAACTAGTATTCAATAAAGGTGAATTCATATTTTCGAATTTTTTTCGTTTTAACAAAAAGGAAATAAGTTTTCAAGATAGAAATTTTTTGTCTTTAAGAATCTTTCAAAATTAATGGCAATTCATTTTAAAATATTTGAGAAACGCCATACTTACACAAGCATATGTGTACATTTTTAATTTTTCTTATGTTATTCAGTTTTTTTTGGTCCATTTCATTTTGGACTATTATACATGTATAGTCCGTCTCAATCTTCATCGTTCTGACTTTTGCCCGCAATTATGCAAGTTACCCACAGGCGGCAATAAAATTCGGGTCCGGTAGGATGGAGGGTTTATATTTATATTTATATTTATATTTATTTCATCTTCTAACTTCTTTTTCAGTTTATTCAAGGTAGAAACAACTTCGCTTTGATAAAGACAATATGTTTTCCAATTCTCCACTATTACTTATCGACGATATTGGCATTTCTGTTTAATAAGTCCTCTACTAAGTTTCATACGCATTTTTCACAACCTGTTTTGCATGAAGCGACATTGTTATATTCTCGTAAAATAAGTTTTTCGAAACGCACAGTAAAAAAAATATTCATCACTGCCACAAATGTTCAACATTCAAGAAAGAAAGAAATTTACAGTAAAAATAACCAATAAAAAGAAGTGAAACATCGTTAAAGTTTTATTTTGGAGAGTCTGTCGAAATCCAACACGATGAGATTGAGACAGACTATAATATTTAAAAAAAACAATTCTTCTTGCATGAAGCATGAAAAAGTGAACCTTTTTTGTTTTCTTATATTCAACTGTTCTAGCTGGTCATTCTGACGTCTCGTTCGACTGTAGCTAATTAGAATTTTGTGAAAAAAGCATGAAAAGCGATGAATTTTCTTGTATTAATTTTGTGATGTAAAAGCTCACTCATGGACCACACTTCCTAATTATGTAAAGATAAAAACTTGTAAAACAAAGCCTGTTACAGAAATCAACTAACCTACGTTTCCCAAAAATCCCAACACCCGATCTTTTTACAAGGCAACATTGTTTTCAAACACGAGATCGCTTGAAAATAACGGCAACACTGTAGACTGACACGGAAATGGAAACTCAACCAGAAAGAAAATATGATAATGAATGATCTTAAACTGAGTATGCTGACAGTTTGACAAAATTTCCAAGCCACGCCCCTAATATGTTTGCGCGTTTAGGTATAAAATCTTATTACCTCGGAAATGAAAAGTGAACCTGGCGAATAGCTGACTAAAATTGAAAATTTATACGTAGAAGTTTGAGCTTTACGTGATCGGATATAACGCCCCAGGGTGCAGCAGATTTTTAGTACCTAATATCTCTATGGCATGCAACATTAAAAATTAAAATCGGTTCATTTAAATAAATTTACCAATTTATTTTCATTAACGACAAGGCATTGTTGAGTAAAACATAATTTGCAAATTTATAGATGGCTCAGAGTGTACATATTTTTGTAGGAATCATTTGGTTTAGTAAAATATTAAATTTTTATAATAAAAACCTATATAGAAAAAAAGTACAACATAAATTTGAAACAAAAATTGTCATAAAATAAAAATAATAAAATCTTAACGCTCCCTAGTGTTATCAAATATTTATTCAAACTTTGTTTCTATTATAGTATCATCTCAAATTACCATGGCTAAAATCTACCGAAAACATCCGTTTTGGCCCCAAAAATCATAGAAAAACATTTTTTTTTGCTATAGAGCTTTCATGTACAAGTAAGCAATAGCAACATCAAATTTTAAGCAACATCTAAGTTATTTTTACAGACATAATTAATTAATTTATCATTTATTAAATATTGTTTAATTATTATTTAATAATTATATCAGTACGGTTTGTTGCAACGAATGTAAGTCTGTTGTTTCAAACTGTTTTTGCAAAAAACAAGTCTAAAATAAAAAGTATGCCATGCTGTAACACATTCCACTATGCAATGATATAAAAATAATGAAATATAATTAATATACAATCTGATCACTAGGTAATTTAGGACATTGCTTATTAAAATAGTCTTTATTATGCAATGTATAACTCACACATATAAAACAAATTAAAACAAAAAACATTTTGAGTCTTTTGATTTAAAACTGAATCAACTTTGAGGTTTTATGATTTGATATTTTTTGATATGATATATATTTTCAAGGGGTAGGTGCTGCATTAAATATCAGCTTATCGAGAGTAAACCATTTGTTATGTATGCCAATGAGGGCAAAATCGATGAATTGACGACACTGTTGCGACTAAAATCGGAAATGAGATGTATATGGTGATTCCTTATAATGCCTCCCCTTTAATATAAATTGAAAAAATGAGTATTATATTGGGAATGCTACGACTTTTTTTTTCTGTTTGCTGATCATTTTTCCAATTTAGTTTATGTATTAGTTTATGTATATTTTTCGCTACCCATATAATAATACTTTTAATTCTTTTGGGACACTTCTGAGCAATTAACGTTAACATTAATATTAACGTAATTTGCATTTTTTAATTAAGACGAATAAACGTTATAATCACGAACAGTTTTCAAATTTATCTAGACGAACCGACGCCAAACAAGACTAGGATATTCGTCCAGCATCCCACAAAGCACAGGAAGAAGCCGCAGATCAATAAACAAGTTCTGCCAAAGGAAAATAACACCATCGTAACCGCATTCGCTGGAACAAATGCTATTTTGAAGTGTAATGTTGAATTAAGCAATGTTTCGGTAAGCGTATCTTTTAAATTAGTAATTACACGGTAGGAAAGATATATTTTTTGTCAAAAAGTTTTTCTTCTATTTTTAACACTGAAGCGTAAACAATTAATACGAATTACATCTTATATGTCTTTAAAAATAATTTTAGTTAAATGAAACTGTTTCCATTTTTAGACCATAATAATAATTTAAAAATATAATAAAATTTTCAAATGAATTGTTATTTTGACATCTAAACTTTTATCGCATTTCCTAATTTGATTTGTTTTAGGTGATTTGGGTGAAGCATTTCGTAAATTCTTCCGACGTTAAAATTTTAACGATAAATTCCAGCACATTTGTCGAAGATAAAAGATATCTCGCTTCTAACACTCGAAACGAAAAGGTAAGTAACACTTTACTGTAGCTAGCATCTTTTAAGGCAAGGTTTTGTGGTGAGTTGGGGCACTAAAATTATGTGGTGGTAAATGTATTCCAAAGTATATAGTAACCAATGCCATACAAATAACCAAAATTTTTTCTATTGCGTGTAGTGTAATAAATTTGAACGTTACAATTCGTTCCGAACGCAAAATTCGCGTTCTGTTGAACGCGTTCCGAACGAGTTCGAAATTTATTACGCTTTCGTCGCGAACATAGAATTTTTAATCCAGAGCGGTCATTTTCTACACTGCAAACAGCCGATTTACTAATGCGCATGCGTCAGTGTTCCGAATGCGTTCGGGATCCACTCCACGAAAATAGCTAATATAAAAACGTATTCGGAAACCACTACATAAGGGTTAATAAACGCCGATTGCTTCGTCACGCCGACACAAGGGGGTTGAATATACCTTAGACATGCGCCCTGTTTGACCAAAGCGAAATTAGGTGCGATTAGCATTTCACCTCCAACCAACCGCCTGTTACATGCCCTAATATTCACGAGCATCGATTGATATTACGTAATCAGAGTCCTCGTCAGTGGTTAGAACTAATTCACAGATTACGGACTAAGTTTTGTGTTATAAAATAGTTAGTTAGCGAATATAAACAACATCGACAGCCTAATTTTAAGTAGCGTATTCAAAAAGTCTCCGAGATTCTCTAATGGCTAACAAAAAAGTGGGTCTGCTTTTTAAAATACCTTCGAGCCATAAAGTAGTAATGTCAGTTTCGGGGTGATTTTCTGCTCTTATAAACGTTACTTGGTATTATAAATAACTAAATGCTATTTACAAATATTCTACATATCGAATTGGCTTACGTTTCTCGAATCATTCTGTTGGTTTCTTCAGAGCTAATGAAACTGGCTTGTATTCTATTCTATACCTGCTTGTAAAGGGTGTTTTTTTTCGATGTATAGAACTTTAAGTTGGCATTACTGTTCAAGATGGCGACCGATTTAACAGCTATCAAGTGATTTATTCTCAGTTTGGTTTGGCAATTCATCATGAATAGACTCACGCCTGAACAACGCTTGCAAATAGTGCAATTTTATTTCGAAAATAATGTTTCTGTGCGGAATACGTATCGGGCACTATGTCCATTTTATCGTCGACAAAATCGTCCATCAGAGCAGTTAATTCGATTGACCATGGAACGTTTTCGCACCACGTTTACTATTATTGATAACTCGCATCCCCAGAGACGCCGTACGGTGCGTACAGAAGAAGCTATTGCTGCTGTAGAGCGTAGCATTGAGGAAGACCCGAATGAGTCCATCCGCCATCGAGCACAGGAATTGGATCTGTGTCCATCCACTTTATGGAATATTTTGCAGAAGGATCTTGGTTTACGTGCTTACAAAATCCACCTCGTGCAAGAATTGAAGCCAAACGATCATAAAGTAAGGCGTAGATTCGTCGAATGGGCCCAAAACGAGATTGCCGTTGTTCCCGATTTTCATAAGCGAATTTTGTTTAGCGATGAAGCGCACTTCTGGTTGAATGGCTACGTCAACAACCAAAACTGCCGCATTTGGAGCGAAGCTAATCCTCAAGTGTATGTCGAAACACCGTCACATCCAGAAAAACTGACTGTTTGCTGCGCTTTATGGGCTGGGGAATCATTGGTCCGTACTTTTTCAAAAACTCTCTTTCAGTCCTGAATTGAATAACCATGATGAAAGACACGTTTTGTGACCGCCTAATTTCACGTTTTGGACCTGTGAATTGGCCTCCAAGATCTTGTGACTTAACACCGCTATGCTACTTTCTGTAGGGCTTTGTAAAGTCATTGGTCTATGCGGATAAACCACAAATGCATGACCATTTGGAAGACAACATTTGCCGTGTTATTGCTGATATACGGCCACAAATGTTGGAAAAATTAATCGAAAATTGGACGTCCAGATTGGACTACATCCGCGCCAGCCGTGGCGGTCATATGCCAGAAATCAAATTTAAAATGTAATGCCACACGGATAAATAAAATTCATATCAATCGAATAATCCATTGTTGTTTTATTGCAACTTAAAGTTCTATACCACACTACACACTACACCCCTTATATTGTTTGAGGGAGGCGGAGCTAAAGGAGGGGCATGAGTTTGTCTCCGTTGACTGATTCCCATATTGGTGAAAGACCTAGGAAGTGGTTAAGATTTTTGATGATTATTATTATGAATGATACATGGAAGAATTTTAGTTTTATCGAATAAGATTTGATGTTCTGTTTTATGATCATGTTCGGCAACGGAAACGAGTTAATATTTTTCGTCCGGTCTCTCCAATGTATTCTTTGCCGCATATGCAAGGAATGCTGTAAATTCCTGGTATCTCAAACTGAATTTTGTCTTTGATAGAAAATGTTGATAGATTTTTGGTTAAGTGGTAAATCTGATTTTAAGAACTTTTGATATGTGGTCAGTGATGTTTTTAATGTAAGGAAGGACAACAGTGGTAAGTGTGGGGTTGCTTTCGGACTCATTGTCTTTGGAAGGTTGTGGTGAAGTGTATTAGAGAGAAGAGCATATGTAAGATGTTTTAATTCTGGGTTCATTGACTCGGGTTTACTGCTCTGTAAACTAGAGAAATAACAACCGATAGTTTTTGAGCCGGATGGTGATGTGACAATGCATTAAGGTGAATGACCCAATGCAATATCTAATAATGGGAGTTTATTGTTAGATTCTAATTCAACGCATGTTACTGTGTATAGAATTTAAATGGCTAAAAAGAAGGCATCAAAAAGAAGGTTCAAACTAATGTAATGGTTTTTGATTGTTCAATGAAATGAAAGGAATTAAGTACGGAACTATCAGTTTTCTTCGAAATGGGTTTTAAAATAGAGAATATGTTGGAGAAACAATGGAACTGACAATAGGTTGAAGGGATAGTCCTGGTTTGTGAATCTAGAGAGGAGGAACTTTAGAATCATAAGGGGTGACCGAGCTTTTGTCGGATTTTATTATAGAAGAAAGCCCTCGACACCTTCGATCCATTATAGAAACGCTAAGTGGATGATACTTTTGTTATTTGACTTCATGGTCAATGTTTGCTCCGAGTTTTCTTAAACATTGAAATTCTATGCACCGTAACATACGTTTTACCATTGAACTAGAAACTAATAATCGTCTACTATTTTTTAGATGTTCCTAGCAAATAGAAAATCAGACCTAACATTAGGTCATTCCACACTTACAACACCTTACTTCTGCTTTTCTCTCTTAAGCCTTCCATCAAAAAATACACTTCACCACAATGTTCCAAAGTTACTTCACACTTACTAATGTTGTCCTTCGTTACATTCAGCACTTCGCTAACCACATATCAGAAGTTCTTAAGAAATATAACTATATAAACCATATGTATTATTTGTGTTACAGCATTCCAGCATAAGTAAAGAATAGATTAGAAAGACCAGACGAAAAATTTCAAGAATATGAAAGAGCCTTAAGACTACGACAAATAAGCTCATCAGCAGTTACCGAACACAATTATTAAACATCAAAATCCTCAAATCTTACTCGATAAAACTAAAATTCTAAAATTCTTGCAGTTTCTTCTAAAAAAAAAAAAAATCCGAGAATCCATGGAAATCTATAAGCAACCCAACAATTTTAACCTCTACTCAGGTCTTTACCTTTTACCAATATGGGAATCAGTCATCCGAGACAATATTCATGCCCCTCCTAGAATGCGAGTCAGTTTCAGTCAAGCTCTGAAGAAGCCAACAGGATGATTAGCGAACTATTAGCAAGTTTCATTTATAAACCTCCGAGGTAGGACGAATCTAGAAGATTTTTAAATCATATTACAGTAAGCCTGTGGAAGTTTCTTTGAATAATTAATTAAATACCATTTAATTTTTATTGTGATTATTATATTTTTATTACAAAAAATATTATGCACATTGACCGAGGAATGGGAAGTTATCCCTGATAAATTAAAAACAAGCATCATAGTGCCCATACCTAAAGTGTCAAAACCGAAAACACCTGGTGATTTTCGACCAATTAACTTGCTGCCAGTAGTGGATAAAATCCTGGAAACGATAGTGTGTGGGTAGTTGAGAGACTACTTGGAACGGAACTGCCTACTCTACAGTGGACAGTCTCGTTTCCGGAGCAAACACTCGTGCGAATCTGCGTTGCAATATATGCGTGCAGTGTGGCGGAAAGACATGAATGAATCAAAACTAATTCTGAGTGTTTTTGTAGATTTTAAACGTGCATTTGAGACTATTGACAGGGACATTCTTATTACAAAATTAGGTTTATATGGCATTAAAGACTCTGCACTAGAATGGATAAAGAATGGAAAAGACTAAAATTAATAATAATGTTTCTAGTCAAAGGGATAGCAGATGGGGGGTACCCCAGGGAAGCGTGTTGGGCCCGCTTTTATTTATTATTTATATAAATGATATGTATCAGGTTTTAAAAAACTCCTTTGGTAACTTATTTGCTGATGACATGCTTATTTCAGTCACTGGAAACCAAACTGAACACCGAAATGCAGTATTTCTACGAATGGCTGTGTAAAAATGAACTAAAATTAAATAGCTCCAAAACCAAGTGCATGGTTATCGGTTCTAAGGTTAACTGTGAAAAATTTTATAAGTCGGGGTATTCTGTGGATATACAGGGTAATAAAATTGAGTTTGTTTCCGAAATTAAATATTTAGGGGTGATCTTGGATCCACAATTATGCTTTAGTAATCATGTTGAATATCTATGCAAAAAAATTAGTAAGAAAACAGGGTTTTTTAACCGGGTATCGCGGTTTTTATCGCAGTGGACTAGGATATTAGTGTATAATAGTATAATTTTGCCTCATTTTTCATATGTTTTTTCATTGCTTGCTACAGTTACAACAAAATAGGGTTATGAGAATCATCCTGAACTGTGATAGATATACTCCTATAAAGAGTATGTTAGACCAGCTAAATTGGCTAAATGTCGGGCAGTTTATTAGAAGCGCAAGTTTAATGTTGGTTTATGGAATTGCGCACGATCACCAGCCAGGCTATCTTAAATTATGGATGGAAAAAAGGTCAAACTTTTATCAATATAATATACGTTCCAATCAGCACTTCAATGTTTCTATGGTAAAAACAACAAATTTACAGAAAACTCTATTCTACGATGGTGTTTGTAATTTTAATGAACTGCCGGATAATATTAAGGGCGCGCCTTGCCCAAGAGTGTTCAAGAAGAGACTTACGGGGTATTTGCGAAGTTTAGAGTTTTGTTTATGCAAATTTTACTTGCTTATGTAAATAGCCAAGTGCTAAATAAATAAATATGGATTAGTTGTTACTGTTCAGCAAATTGTTGTCCAATTATTGTATATGAATACAAACAGGTTCTTCACACACACAATATCCTCTGGTAAACTGTTGCAATTGTCGAATGTCCTGTTATGTTTTATTATATTAAATAAATGATCATCGAGACGTTCGCCATTGCTTAGGAACAAAACACGCACGTGGAATGGAAATTGGTTGTGCGCAAACACATACATTTGGATGAGATCCTCCCGCAGTCAATGTTAACGTTTGCGTATTATTTGGACACGGTCGTGGTCTGTTATAATTCTGAGTTAAAGTGGGTAATCGCGCGATATCCTTGGGTTCCAGACGGGGGGACCAAATTCCAGGACAAAATAAATGTTTTTTACCTGTACAGAGCACCATCGGTCCATCTGAGAACTTACAGTGGATACAAGGTCTTCATTAATATTATAGTCCAAACTGGAATTGTTCTTGCCAACATGCAATTCAGAGCACTTCTGAGAATTCAGGGGCAGTAGCCAAGTCGAGCATAGGGGGAATTACGCATTAATAACAACCCGTATAATGAAGATGTTATCCAAAGTTCAACAATTTTTGAATTTTTTTGAATATTGAAATACATAGTATGCCAGAGTAAGCAATCGGAATCGCCTGGCACAGCTCTGTTTAATGATTCCAAGTATATTAAAATTCGTTAAGCATTTTTGTAGTTGTCGGTATTTTTTTCAAAACATGTTCCAGTCCCACTATTTTCCTTTCAGAGGTAGAGCAAAGAATATTAAACAAACATTATTCAGTCTAACTATGGGTAATACATGAAAATTTATACCAGGTTTTAATTGTCAAGATGGCAATTAAGCTCCGCAACATTTTTTCCTAATATTTTTTTAAGTTTCTTTTTATTTCATAAAAGTTTTTAATACTTCTGTTTCAATTACGCAGGAGGTTTGTGAAAAGTATTACAGCCTTTGGAAATTTCTTTGAAAAATTAACTTTTTTAAATTAGTTTTTCCATAATAATTTTTAAACCTCTAAAACTATTAGATTTAGTATTTACCCTAATTATATTTGCATTTATAGAATATATAAGAAAAATAATTAGCAGTGGCGTAATTACAATTAAAATTAATAAATAAGCTGACGTCATTAAGTGACACTTTTCGCACTCTTTTTTTTTAATTTCGACGTCGTGTTGTACAGAAAAATATTAATTAATATTTAATTCATTAATATTAATGAATTGATTACTATTAATATACATTTTCACTTCTCCGCCACAGCACTATGCTAGATGGACCCACGAACAACATAAAGTTGAAAATATAACCTACTTAATTTTCGCGTGGAATGAGCGAGATTCATATTTCATTATCTTTGTGCCTAATTGAAAAGGACATAGGAAGACTCTCATTCCAGTGGCCATGTTGTCGAAGATGGGGTAAAATATCAAGGGTTTTAAATAAAAACTGGGGTTGGTTAAAAATTAAAAGAAACACTGAGAACTCGTAACCACATCGATTCGAATTTGTGTCTCTGTACATTTCAAATGGTATTATTAGAATTTTAATCCAAAATTTCGTCTTAGGACGTGGCGCAGAAACATTTAACGAAACGGAAAGGCTGGCAAAGTTGTGGATGAAACAAGATTACCACGATGTTTCGTGTTTGCTTTCCTAATTGGTCCTCGGATACTTTCAAACCCGAAATTTAAGACATGCCTGAAAAGCCAAACACAAGGCTTTTCCATTTCCCTCAGATAATCTACTTTTCTTAACAGCGCATTGAACAAATTTCCTTAGCGCCTCAAGCAGCTTCTCTTCTACATCAATAATTGTATTTGATTGCGAGAACATGAATATTAATAATAATAATAATTGAGAATTGAGGATAATGAAAATGTAATTCATCTCAATCTCCCCTGCGTACCCTTGACGAAAAATTCTGCGTTTAGTAGCAAAAACAACGTCAAACCAGTTATAAAGCAACAAAAGAAATATAGGATTGTCAAGAAGTTAATTAAAAAGTCAAACAATATAATCGGGTTGAATTTGGCATAAATACGTATATTTGTTTTTAGATTTGGACGCTTCACATAAGATATACGAAAACATCGGATGCTGGCTTATACGAATGTCAAGTTTGCAACAGTCCCACCTTCAGTATATACACACAGCTACACGTTTACGGTAATTCATTAATAATACGTAGACTCCATTTTTCAAAAATCTTTATTTTTATTAAATTATATTTGTCATTGCTAAATTTTCGTTGACGACGCAAGTAGTTGGTAATTTAAATCAATTTAATGCAATAATAATAATAATAATATCATTTATTGCATCTAGGAGAAACCTCCATTACAAGAAGTAAGGCGGCTTAAAAAAACGCAAAAAAGGAATTATACTGGTTTTAAAAAAATGATAGAAAAGGAAAAAAAATAGCAACAGCAAGATTAAATATACACTGTGTCCAATTTTGGTCACGACTGTCCGTTGTTAGAGGCGTTTCGCAAATCTTTGCTACTTTTTTGTGAAACGAAACATGACGTAAACGAAATTTTCATGACTTGCTTAGTTTTTAAAATACGGCGATTTTGGAATTTTAAGTTTGCGAGCACCCCTCGTAGCACGGGTATCTTATCAAAATGTCGGAAAGGTGAAAAGCGCATCAGATTTAGATTTTTACGTAGAATTCAGTGGCGTAGTCATTTTTTTCTAAATAGTTTCGTCTTTTAAAAAAATGAAAAGGTTATTTGTATTAAAATCACAAAAATTATTGTTTTAAATTTTCATGAAGGTATGCCTTACAAAAAGTATTTTTCTTATTTATTCCTGACAATACTTAGACAATAGCTTTTATAATTTGCATGAAGCGAACTTAGTTTAATATTGACGTTTTATTTGGAACATTCCACATAGATCTATTAAAAAAGGAAAATCAAAACGAGAACCTAGTTATCAAAACAATTATTAAAATTGATAATTAACATAAAAATTATTAAATATTAGCATTTTTTTGCAAATCTTTATTTGACTTCTTAAATGTGGCCACAAAACAAAATCTAAAAAAGAGAGAAAGAGTTACACTGTTATGTGGTTTTAAACCAGATTGCCATGAATTGTAATAAAATTTGTATTGCAGTAAATTATAGGGAAGCCGCCTCTGCCACAAATCATAATGTGTGTTTTGCTTCTATTAACAGCAACTTTATTATTGGCACAGCAACCTCCAAAAGCTTGTAATTTTTGGTTTAAATCTGTCTGTGTGTTACTCATTATAACTAAGTCATTATGTTAAGGTTGATTTCAGCAAGATCGCACGTAAGAACGTATTTCTCTAAGTTAGTCAGAAATATCAAAATGAGGAACGGGTGGGAGACATTCCCCTTGTAGAATTCCTTCGATAAAGTCGAACGGCTTTGTGATTTGATCATTTCATTTGATACGCTTAACAACCGTTTCATACATTTTTTTAATACTTTGGCAGCTTACTGCAGCATTATTTGGTCTGTGTCATCTCAATTGTGAGATAAAGTATCATTGCGCGCTTGAAGTCAATGAATGCCACATAAACTTTAGGGCGTTTTAACATTGTATGCTTGTTTCAATTTTTCCTGAATCCTGTTTAACATTCCGGCAATAAATATATTTCTAGCATTGCAAAATATTGTCAATCTTTACAACAAAAAAGAAGTAAATAATTTGGCATAGCAATCTGTATGCCCCTTGCTTGTATCTATATCTACTACCAGTTATTAGAGATACAGAGAACGAAAGGAAACTTTAGCGCTAATTCCGATTGCCATGCCTATTCAACTCGTTCGGGGGATCTCCTTAGACGGCCTAGGTTTAGACTGAGGAAGTCTGAGAACAACTCATTGAACCTGAAATTGCATAATGTTTTGCCAAGTACCGTGAAAAAGATGAGCAATAGAAAATTTGAACATACTATTAAAGAATTTCTACAACGTCATTGTTTTTACTCCCTGCGAGCATACATTGACACTGTCACTGCTATCGATGCGCTATAAAACTGTATAGTACTGTCTAATTTTGTTTGTATTAGATGTGTGTCTTTATGTTATTTATTAATTTGATTTTATTGCACTTGAATATCACTTCTGACTTGCTACAATTGTACGTCCCTTTTGTACGAAACGTAGTCAATAAATGAATCTATCTATCTATCTATAATTTTCAGGGTTTTCTTTAAGGCCGCTCTTATACAACATGGAGAGTATTACTTTATGCCAGGCAGAAGGAATTTTTTCGGTTTCAAAAAATTTGAAATATATTTTTTTAAAAACTCTTAGCTTATACCATTCACTTCAAGCGATTTGCGATTCTAAAGAATATCCTGTACGTTATTTTATGTTTTATATTGTTTTGGCACAGCTACTGCAACAAATTACAGTCGATGTCGATAATTTAGATTCTGCCAAATTTCTGTACAAACACGCTATTAATATGCCGGGGAATTCTGAAACTTTATTCGAAAATCGGTCCCAGGAGAAATCTTGAAGTTTTACTGTACTCTCAGATACAAGAAAGTTAAGCGATTACGTGGGAGCTGTTGTATATTTTTTGTTGCATGCAAAGAGAGGCGCCTAAATATTGAACTGAATAGTAAGAGATACTTACGTACCAAATAACAATTTGGTACAAACAAAATATATGTTTTTCTTTTATCTCTTTCTTCTTATCTAATTTTGTTAATGTTAGCTACTAAGGATGTTTTCAAAAAATCTACAAATCTTGGTTACGTTATTTTTATAACCTCACTTTGCAACTTTAGCTTATAAACTTGAATAGTCTGCAGAACTTTCTTATTTCAACCTCCATAAAGATGATGCATAGCACCGAGAGTTGAGAGATATCCTTTAGTTATACCTCGACCAAAAAGATAGTGCTTTTAGAACCAACCATGCGATTAACTTTGCCTACTGTGTATTACTCCAAAACCTTAGTCCCTGATAGAACACCCTGCCGAGCAGACCCTCACCCGTAACCATTCCAGGACCGTCCTAGGAATTTATCTACCTATATTAACACTAATACGATATATTTCAATACATTTCTACATTGTATTATTGTTAATATACAAGATATTAAATAAATAAAAACAATTATAAAGTATCAGTCACTTAAAAAATCGTCACTGTAGCTATTGACGTCACCTATTCAATGACCAACTCCGCCACTAATCGTTCTCGATAAATATTTTCTTGTTTTATTACTCGTTTTTCGCAGTTATACCAACTTTGTATTGATATTTTAGCTGCCTCTTGCCGAATTACGTTTATGGTACTATCACTAAGTTATGTACAGTGTTATTTCTTCTTATATGCGCTTTCAACTCAGACCAAATCATCTCAATCGGGATCGCGGATAATCTCGAGTTATCATGTCCGTTTTGTTGTGCTATCGAATCGATTTTGTAATCTTTATTAAAATGTTTTATTGTTAATAATTTCAGAAGTTGTTTTTTCGTATAAATCATTTTCGTACACCACTTCTTTAATTTATTTTTTATTTGAAGAAGTATTTGCAATGTTTCTAATTTGGGCTGAATGATACGACGCATTATCCAACACAATAACAGTATTGGGCGATAGTTTTGGCAACAGTTTATCTGCAGAAACGCATTTAAAAAGATAAAATAGAGTATAAAAATAAAACTTCAGATTCTAACTACGCCAGTCATTTAAATTCAGAAATGCACAAGTTTGACAATAATTTTGATATTTTACGTAATGAATGAAAAAGCAAAAAAATGAATTTATTGCTGGCTATGCGTGTCCGTTATTAAATTTAAATTTATAACCCTGCAACGGTAATTAATAATCTACTACTACCTTTTTATAAATAACCCTGAAAATCTGAACACTATTTGTTCTAATTTAAATGTGTTAATTGGATTTTCATCAAGTAAAAGTCATAAATATTATTCACACGATACGATCCAACCGAATGAAAAGAAAACATTGACCAAAGGAAAAGGTTTGTCGAAGAAAGGTCGAGGATCTATTCCTATTCCTGGATCTATTCAGATAACATAACAATTTTGCGATGGGCGGATAATAAAGTTGTTCACATGGCCAGCATTGGGATAGAAAGACTAAAACTTATATTGAAGTACTTTGCTCACAAGCGATAGTACAGTACAACCGTTTTATGGGTTGACATGGCGGACCGAATGGTAGCCTACTATCCACGCAGTCGAAAACAAAAGATTTTACATGAGAATAATATTTTATTTTTTGAATCTTGGAATGGTAAATTCCTGAATACTATTCCAAAAAATTAATCTGCATCTTAATAGCAGCAACAACAACAACAGCAACAATTTTACAGATCAACAAAATAACACGAAAAAAAAAACATGGAAGCTTTGTCTGAGATTCTATAGCTTTCTACTAAAACAGACCATACAAATCCACCAAAATGTGTGTAGATTTTTTTCTGGGCTTTTAATTTTTATTTTTTAATTCGTCCTTGAAGAAATTAAAAAAAATGTCGCTTTGCAGTTTTTTCCTTTACAAGAAGGCCGTATTAAATGGAAATTACGACCTTTCGTTTGTATGCTACTAGCAGTGGTTTGTTTTGAAAATAAAATATGGATTTTAGATTAATAAGGCAAAATGTTGAGAAATAAGTCTGGAAAAATAGTTATTTAGTTTCCGATGAAATCAATAGATCAGCGTGATTTATAAAAAATCAATCTCTAAGCTGCCTCATAGAATAGTCAAGTTCGGAGATACAATGGGTTAAAGTTTAAATTTTGATCTGAATTTTCTAATTAATTGGGAAAGTTATTATAGTACCATAATAAAAATTGTTAGTTTTAGTTTTTTTTTGACATTATAGTTACGAATTTGTTGGACGTTGCTCCTAGGGGATGCTAGTTTTACCTTATATTTAGATAAATCTATTCATATTTTTTAACTGTTGAGTTATGGGTGAAATATGATGAAAATTTGAACGAATTATTCATAAAACAGCTACTTCTTTTAACGGTTTTTAACTTATTTGTATTTAAAAATTTGATGGCATTTTTTAAAATTTAATATTAAAATTGTCCACTATCGGCCTCAATACATTTTAGAAATCTTGTATGTAGTAAACAGAATCTTATTAAAACTTAAATTCTTAGCTAATTCAAAAATTCTGACTTATCCCAACTTATTTTTCAGAAGTGCTTACCTCTTTTGATGAAAATCTAACTTAAGTTTGAAATTCGTACTTTTTCAAAAAAAAAACTGTCTTACTAAACTAAATCGTACATTTTATTTTCGTTGGCCTATCAGCGCTTTCGTTGTTTTCTATAATCATTACATAACCAACAATTTTAAGATAATGAAAAACAAACTAAAAAAAAAAGGGATACGTCTTTAAAATTGAAGTGGATGATGATTCTTCTATAGCCTTCTGGATTTCTCTTGCGTTGGATATTGACTCGATGACGTTTCACCAAACATGGTGAAAGTTTATTACTAATTTAAGGAAATGCATACTAGCTTCTGTATAAAGGCGAACACTCAACGAGACGAAGTGTGGCAAATGAGTTTGTTCTTAATTTACTTTTGCTTGTAGGCTGTGCTACCTACATTCTAGGCCATATGTTTACAAGTAACTTTTTACCTTAAAAAAACTGTTTTCGTTTACATGTGGCCATATATTTCTGCCAAAAAATAAACGATTCTAAACTGTCGTATCGGCAGACTTTCGTATAAAAAAAAATGAATGTCTGACATTTCACCCGGTATATTCACTGCCGCTATCTTCAATTTTCCGCCACCTTCATCTCCAGGCGACAACTTTTTATTACCTTTTAGCATAATACCTTGTCTTTCCACTAAACAAGATCTGGGCCCATTAATTTTTTTTATGTTCTCGAGAATAAGCTCCAAACAACGAAACGCTGTCGTTAAGGGGCTTAAATTAAATGCGAAATCTGAAAGAGAATTAACTTTGGCAATAATGAGTAATGTTCAAACTTTATACCTGTTGCAAACATATTTTCCCGACAGATTAAAGTGTCGTTCTCGATTCCGAACATATCGTAATCGAGTTTAATTTACTTCGGTTATACCGAACTCCCAGTAGGATTTCGTTAAATTCTATTCTAAGTGAACAAACAACATACCTGTGTGTTCCAATTTCTCAGATTTCACCCTCGCGTTTCAGATTTATATCTTGAAAGTTTATTACTAATTTAGGGAAATGCATAAATGAAAACTGATACGAATTTGTATATATTCAGAGTGACACAAGGATGTGGGAATTCTAAATTAGTTTCTTAGTAACTTTAGTAACTAATTTTAAATAACAAACTTTTCTTTAGATTGAGCAGATCATTAGTTTTTCAGCAAAAATATTCGGAACAAAATATGTTTGCAGAATATATTTTTTAATAAAGTATGCCAAAAGTTTAGGAAAACATGTATTTCTTAAAAAACCTTCGCTTAGAATTTGGCAAACATATTTTTACTTGTGCCCCTTACCATCCAAATGCCACAATGGAGACAATCCGGTAACATAGTTATTTTGATGATTCTGCACGAAACAGATGCCAAATTACCAAAAAGAAAATATATTATTACGTTTTTAATACAAGTTGGTCACAAAATTAAAGTAAGCAATAAAAAAATGCTAAAATTTTTGCTGGAATGTATTGCGATTAGATTATTTAGAATCAATACTTTTTTTGTATTTTACAAATTTTGCATAGACAAGAAAAGGCGAAAACAAGTATAATAGCTATAAAATTATATAATATTAAATAAACATCGGATATGCCTATATTTTTTACACATTTGGCTCCGACACAATATTATTAGGTCTGTTAACAGTTAACTACTTAGAAAACTTCAGTTACGTTCAAAAGCCAGCATGCCAGAAATTGCATGCATTTAAAATTTGACAAAATATCATATGCGCTTTCCAAAAAAAGGCCTTATTTACGGAAATGTTATAACTTTTAGATCCATGTAAGTATTTTGTGCCACCTTCGAATAGACCACAAAAACACTTTCATTTTCCTTGTGTTTATTAACATCCAGTGCATGTTTGTGCTTGTTTGTTTCATCCTGTAAGGCGGTATATTTACGTATATTTCTCATATTGATATTTGACATTTCCTATATAAACTATAGAAGCATGGGCCGAAATAATTGGAACAAAATTTGGATCGGCTGTCAGAAAAGTAGATGAAGGGGATCCGATTCGTCTGAGCTGTATTATAAATGGCACACATCACCCAATACCTAGACCTACATATATGTTTTGGTAAGTTTTAAGATGTTCGATACCTGAATTTAAATTTAAAAAAGCAATTATATATTTAAGAGATTTGCCGGAGCGAAAACACCATTTTGAATAAGGACCATTTTAATAATATTGATAATGAAAGAACATTAATTCACTTTGATAATTTCCTAATTAGCAAAATCTTTCATCTTACTTTTCGTAGAGTTCAACTAGAAAACGTTGCTGGGGTTTGCAAAATTTAAATTCAAATCTTGTGAGGATCCATTATGCATATAAAGTCTATAAAAACAATCAAATCTTTGAAATGTAGAAATTCTAGAAGCGTGGTTCTTATATTGTGAATTCGTATCACCTAGAGCGCATAATAAGAAACAAATTTAAATTTCTAAACGGGCACAGTTTACAATTACCGATAGTAGTTTGACCGGTAAATGTATAAAAGGCAGGTTATGTGTTTTTTGCTTTCCTTAAGAAATAAAATATTAAGGCCTGCCCTGCTTTATACGGGCAATTGAACCCCGTATATAGATTATGTAGAAAGCAGTGGAACAAAACACAATCTATGGAAAATTTGAATAAGGTGCCACAGACGAGTTCCTACGTTGAATAAAGAACGTAATTTTGACGCAAAAATACCGAGCAATGTGGCTGTAATAAAAGGCAGGTGAATACTTCTTGTCTGATTTATTTTTCGGTCCCTTTAGTGGGTCGTCTCTAAATGATAGCTGGTAGATAATACATTATTAATAAGAATAATATTTCTTTATTTTCTCTGATGCATTTCCCCAAAAATTTTTCTGAATATAGAAAATGTCATATAAAAGTAGCATACTTTATAAAAAAACATACAAAACACGATATTAAAAAAATAGGAATAATTATATAGATTTGATGCTGGCATCAGAGATCGAAGTACTTGTCACACTATACATGCTGTAGTTTTATAGAAACTGGGTACGAATTTTGTCAATTAGTATCAGATTTTCAGAAATCTTCGTCGGAAGTTAAATACTGCTCAATCAAAATTCTCTATTTCTATATTATGGTAAGATATTGTAAAGTTATTTACAGTTAACCGCATGATTACTTTGAATAATATGGTGTAAATCCAAATTGATTATTTTAAAATATATTCTTCGATATGTGGGTGTAGTTAATAGCATAAAATTGATGCTTTTGGTACATGATCTGTCGCAATGACGCTTAATGTAACTAATATAATATGATCTAAACAGTCTATCGAGCTCTGGCCTCGAGAATATATAACTTGTAATATGGCACTGAGTGTTCATTAATAACATAATAAATATCTATTATATACTGTACCATCAACTATCAAAAATAACAAATCACCAATCCTAAGAATTGCAAATTAACATTTATACAGTCAGAAAATATTCTTTTAATTGTTTAATAAAAATATAACCTTTTCACTTTTTAAACTTACAGGAATTGAATTAAATGTTTTGCACGTATTTATGATGGAATTATATATTATGTTGGTTCTGGTATTGATTTCGTATATATCATTTATTACTCTACACTCCCGAACAAAAAATTTAGGCCACTCAAGAAAATTCAAATAATTTGAAAAAAAGGAGTTTATCACTGAATCGTCAGTAGGCAGTGAATTATTTGCTTTCCGATAAATCAGTTATTGTCAGCGTACGTTAGACTTTCTATTTAAGAACGGAAGTACGGCCTAATTAAAAATTTGTGCGTTGGGTACTTTCCAGCTTATCGTTCATTTATTTCCATAAAACTTATGATTGTGTGGCCTATTTCAGATCTGGAGTGTATAATACCTAAACGCAAGGAGAGGGAATACACGTTATTGGTTTTCAAGAGTTCTCAATATTGTTAATTCTTTCTAGTTTCTTTAGTTACAAATAGGAATTAATTGAGGTTTGTTTATAATAGATATTTTGTTTTCCGACAAAATCATGAAAACCAACATCAGATTTTCCGATTATATGTTAAATTCAGGTAACCAAATAGAGTAGGAAAGATAATTTATCACTTTCTAGTTCTTGATAAACTTTTTCTTCCTAAGAAATTGTAATTTCTTGAGTGCAATAATTTTTGAAACCAGTGTAGTTTCTTCGTTATGAACCTGATTAGTAATTATTAAATAAGTATTTGCTTTTTAGTGCTCATTCATAATATTAAATCTAAGTTTACACTGTTTAGTTTGAGTTCTTCCTTTACGTAATTATCAATACAAGGTATCTGTATTGCTTATATAATATCCTTAAAACGTTGTTTTGTAAGGACTGCATTTTATTGAAATTTGTTTCGGTGCACATTCCTCATATGGGTAGTAAATATTCAAATAGTGATAAAAGAAGGAATAGCAGATCATTGATTTTGTTTTATTAGTTTAATAATTCCTACATTTAACCAAAAATGACATCATAGGTTAAATTGAATTTGTAATTTTTTCTGTGTGTTCATACTAATTTAGAGTAGCGCCTATCACTACTCCTAGATATTTAAATTTAGTAACTTTCTCCGTCATTGATTTGAATATTTTTATCATTTATATTTTTCGAAGAAACTTCCACAGACTACTGTAATATTTTTCAAAGAAACATCCACAGGCTACTGTAATAATTTTTATGAAACTTCATCCTGTTGACTTCTTCAGAGCTTGACCGAAGCTGGCTCGCATTTTACTGCACCTGCGTTTATATTGTTTGAGGGGGGCGGAGCTAAATGAGGGGCATAAAAACCGTCTCGGATGATTAAGATTAAGACAGTTAAGATTATTAGATTGTTAGGTACATATTCCCTAGCAAAATTAAAACGTTTTACAGGGAAAACTGATAGTGTCGTACAATAAACACCATTACATTAGATACACTAGATACTCTAGTTATTTTCGACGTAGAATCCCTCTTTACTAAAATTGCTATTGCTGAAACTCTTATCATCATTTCAGATATATATTTGTTTATGCCGTGTTTATGCGGTGTTTATGCCCCTGATTTAGCTCCCTCCCCTCAAACAATATATAAGCAGGCACAGAGTAAAATGATGAAGTTTTATAAAAGTATTGCAGTAGCCTGTTGAAGTTTCTTTGAAAAATATAAATGACATAAATATTCAAATCAATGACGGAGGAAGTTATTAAATTAAAATATCTAGGAATAGTGATAGACGAAACTCTAAATTCGTATGAACACACAGAAAAAATTACCAATTCAATTTTACCTACGATGTCATTTTTGGTTAAATGTAGGAATTAAACTAATAGCAAGTTCGACTCAGCAAAAACCGACGCGGGGAGAATCCAGAACTTTTGTAAAAAGTATCATTTATATTTTTATTTTTTTGCGTAAAATCCATATATTTTGTTTTGTTAATATGAATTTTTAATGTGTTTGAATACAGCCAATTAACATATTTCTATACATCTCGATATTATCCGTTAGTTTGTTGTGCGGCTGTAATCTTACTAGGACTGGTATTGTCAATTCTTACTCTTCAAGGTTGATTATTATACATAGTTATATTTTTATTGCAAAATATTTTCCAGCACAATCACGCTTCTCAATGCTTTTTACTGTCATTAACTAGGTAACTGATGTTCTGATTCATTTGATAAATTTAGGTATCACGGAAATAGAATGATAAATTACGATTTGAAAGATGGTGCTTTTGTCAGAGAGGGACGTCTGGCTACGGACCTTATCTTTCCCAGAGCTCTGCCTCAACACGCTGGAAACTATTCCTGCGTCCCGTCGAATGCGAAACAATACAGCGTCCTGGTCATTGTTCAGTACCGAGGTAATGTGTGGTTGTAAATTGTGTGAGTGTGTGTGTGTGTAACAGTGCTAAATACCGCGTTACACAAATTCGGTTCGTTAAATAATATATTGGCGTAAATCGGCAATGAATATTAATAAATGCAATTCAAATTTTCACCATTGGCAATGTAAATTATTATTTGTTTTGTTCGAAACTGGATCTCCCCAATAAGCTCGAAATAAAATCGAGGGCAATGACCGTTTGGTGGCATAACATTTCTTGGATAACTTATTTTCTGCGTTGTCAGTTCCCGATTGATATAAATTGCTTTCCTCAAAGCAAATCTTTTTAACAAGCACATCACGTAGGATAATATATAATTTTGTTCGCGATTGTTAGGGTATCAAATTGTGGAGCGCTATTTATCATTTTGCCGAAAAATCACAAGCATATTAATTAAAACCCAAGCACGCTGCGAATTGATATCATAGTTCAAAAGTAGTGATTTCTGCAACAAGTACAAAAAGTGTATTTAGTATGAAGTATGACGTTTTGACAGTTCTTGCTAGTCAACTACAAAATTTTTTACACTAGTGCAAAAAATAAAACTTTTATTACAGTAAGCAGTTCAAAATGTATTTTTATCCGTGCATATTCACTATTTTTTTACACTTATTTTATTGTGCGCTTTAAATTCTTTTCTCACCGTTATGATCTCTCTCGTCGTACGTCTAAATCGAGGTAGAGTTATAGTTCGATAAAATTTTTCATTTTTTTCTCATCTTTCTCATATTTTGTCGAAATTTTTCCAATGTTTTGTCCACTCCGTCGTCAATTAATTTTTTTGTGGTATATATTTTATTAGATTTTCTATCGCAATACGCGAAGTGTTTCCTTTCTCCATAATGATGTTCTTTTTGTTCCCCTCGCCCATAAATTTTAATCTCAAGTGTACACCATAAATACTGTCATTTTAATATTTCAGGTGTTTTATACTAAACACTTATACTAAATGCTGCAAAAATCTTATGTGGTTTTAAGTTGTACAGTTTTTTGTACATTTTTAAATATATTCTCATAAATGTACAGTGTGATTCATTACTAATTGCAAATATTAATACGTCTTTTTGAACATTTTTGTGTTATTAAATTTGTCCTTTTGATTAGGTTGTCACAAAATTTTTCTTTTGAGGATCACAATTTGTTTGGTCGCACACCACTTCCCGTCAAATATGAAAGCAAACACGTCATAGCCTTTAATTAATTTTTTTATGTTTGTAATTGGGACATCCTGTAAATGGAAAAGAAACTGGTATCCCAGATGTGAGCCGTTTATTTTTTATCAAATTAGCACTTGTGACATTTATAATTTATGCTGTACTGGTATTGAAATATACTCAGTACATTTGAAAATTTTATATCACGTACATTTTTAAAATAATATAAATACTGAAAATCCTAATTTTGAAAGTGACCTAAGTCCACTTTTTATTGACGATGTCAAAAATGTCAAAAGCAGTGATGAAGGTAATTTAAATTACGTTTTGATATTAAATTGAAATTTAAAAAATAATATTTAATTTAAAGAAATTATTAAACCCATGGGAAACGATAAAATAACAAGATTTCCTCAAAGTGAAGAGGAATTGCACTCATACAACAGATTTAAACAAAGTAGGAGAATTTTAGAATTTCCTTCTACAACAGAGGAAGACGAAGTAATTGAGAATGAGAATTTACAAAACAGCTTCACTGTGAAGAAAATAATTTAAAAGGAGTTAATGCATGGACTTCATTTGAAGCTAGCAGAATAGGCTAGAAATGAGTTAAAATAAGATCAAGAGCGAGTATCAAGGAATCTATCTCATTATTTTGCCTTTTCATACGATTTGCACAAAGCGTTACCATTCCCAAAGTTAACTACTTCAATAGTTAATATTAATGTAACATGTATTTTTTAAATTTAGGCATACACTATTTCCACAACGATAATGTAATGTAATGTAATGATATATGTACTTTTCGGATGAAACAAAAGCTTCTAGAGATTCCCAAGAGCTGGCTTTATGCCTCTTGAGACACCTAAAATCCCTGGTGAAAAAAACACATCATTGCATATAGTGGCATGTGTGGAGGACAAAACAGAAACATCAAAATATCTTTAATCTGGTTAAAAATGTTATCGATGGGAAACGATGTGGAAATCAAAGACCACAAATTTTACGATATTTTATATAACCATATTGCCATCGTTATATAAAAGTATAAGATGCATCACATCACTAAAATACCGACACATGATGGACTTATTGCGGTATAGACCTCCGGAACACCGTAACTACTTCAAATCACTCCGGCATACTGAGAATGTTAACGAATAACTTGTTACTAAATTTATTTCTTTTATCTAAAAATATAACTTGAATGTTTTTTTTTCTATTTTTTAAGCTGACCGACTTAAGCTCTTTCACTTTTTGTAACAAAACAAATTTTTATTTTGAAAGTGACCTATGTCCTCTTAAGGTAAGCAAGGTAATATTATACACTTAATAATGGCGACTTTTTAATAGGATGTATAAAATTAAATCCCTTAAATGCGATTTAACATTGCAAGTCAAACATATCTTTAACCGTATTTTTTAATTTTGTAAAAACGCAAAACCTTAAGTATTTCAAATTAAAGATAAATGAACTTCAGTCACTTTCAAAATATATACAGTACCTACACTTTCCGCCAAATATGACAACAAACACGTCAAACCGCTTAATTAATTTTTTTATGTTTGTTGCACCCTGTAAATGGAAAAGTAAGTGACAGTTTAATGAAAAACTGGTATCCCAGATATATAACTTTAATTTTTAAAGGGGCACTGATCATTATGGATATAAAATTTGCTCCAATATTTCCGAAAATCCTTGCGCGTTTTAGCATATTATAAATGCGAAAACCAAAAATAGACTAAAATCATCTTATTTCGGAAAAAATTGCCTCTTTTAATTATTTAAATGATTTTAGAACATTCAGACACCATTAAGCGCTTTCATGTTTAACACCTGAACAATGTCGCGGCAAACGAAATAATTCCCACACATAATGCATATAGCCATTTGCATATGTCTAACAGCATTCATGAATATGCCTTTCTGGTGCTATTGTATTATATTCGCTGTGAAATATGGGACACAGTAACGTGCAAGATGATGCATTCGAATAAAATTTCTTTGAGTCAACCTGTATTCAATTTCATTACACGTTTCAACGAATAATTATCGAGTTTAATATATTCTCCATCTAGTTTAATTTATATCAGACGAATTACGTCACGTGAGCTATTTTACAAAAATATTTAGATTGTTTCTATGGATGGTAGCAGCAGCATCAACGTTGCAGGTTTAACTACGAACCTGTATTTTCCTAAAAAAACTACTTTTGACATTAAATTATGAATTATAAAAGATATAATAAAAAAACTTAAAAACGAAATTTTTATTTTAAATTATTTTCTAAATAATTAACTTTATTTCATTATTATATATATTATATTATTAATAAATTATATTTACAAATTGGATTAAAATTTAATATAAATTAAATTTAATTTTCGTAAATAATTTATTGTTTGGCGTTAAAAGCAGCGGTTTAAAATATAATAATTTTCCAAAATAAATAAGAACTAAAACTTCAGATTTTCACGAAATTATATATTATGACATGACAATTGTTTCGACAACATCGTGTCTTTATCAAATGTCATAATATATAATTTCGTGAAAATCTGAACTTTTACTTCTTATTTATTTTGATAAATGGATTTTCATCAAGTAAAAGCCACCTCAGTTCAATATAATAATTATAATTGTTTTTTATTATTAATTATTTTATTTTAATTTATATTAAAAAATTATTTGTATGTTAAGGAGTTTTAAGTTGCAGGGTGTCAAAGTTTTACGAAAATATCATATTATATCACCAATGTCGTAACTAAATATTGTTACGAAGTTTGTCATACGTTTTCTAAGCAGTTGTAGAGTACTAGATATTTAGATTTATTTAAATTATTGTAAAAATTCCCGTCATCAATTGCGTTAGCTGCGTTACGGGTGATTGTGATTTTTTATATCTTGTATTTTTTGGTTCTCATTGGTTATTAAATAACAAATTAACATTTCTTAAATTTAAATTAAAATTGCCACTTTTTATTATCACTCAATTCCGGTTCAACAACTTTTGCTTTTAAAGTATAGAGAATTTTTGAATTTGAATTTAAATGACTCGAGCGCCATCTATCTTGAAATTTATCAAAGGTCTAGTGAATCATATTGAAAGTACGTCATCTGAGTTTATTTTGGAACTCAATTAATAATATTAGTATTTATTTCAGAACTCAAATTTATGTTATGCCAGTACCGTAGAACGCAAAATTTGAAATTTGTTTCTAGTTCTGTTTATTAGTAATGCATAATGCATAAAAAACTTGAAAAGTCTAGTTTTAAAATATTCATCAGATGGAATAGTATTAATTAAAAAATTATATTTTGTTTTCGCCGGACTTGGACGAGTCATATTTGCGTTTATGTTTATAAAAAAATCATTTTTCTTTTTCAGAATTAATCATGCCACCAGAGTCCAGTGGGTCATTGAAGGAATATTCAATTGCAGTGCTACTTCTATACTATGTTGTAATAATTCAGATGTAATAGTTAATAATACTAATAAAGGACCATGTTCTGAAGGATGATTGCATTTTTTGATAACTTTGATTTTTAATTTTTTTTAATGCAGTTAATATTGAAATTTTAATATTAATTTTTAGACCCTTTAACTATATAGTAGGTTAAACTATTTTCTCTGCTCCCGTCTGTAAAATGTCTAATTTTACACCGATCTAGAGTGGGGAAGCGCCACTTTACCACGCGAGTTCCTTGTCTCGCGGATCCGAATCACTTCGGAAATTTTTGGGATATTACCACATGGGTTTGGGAGCAATCAGATGTTTTTGGCGATTTACCGCACGGCTTGAATTTTGACGTTTGTGAAGTGACGGTCATGTCAGTAAACGTTTATTAAACACTCGCTCCGCTCGTGCCAATTAAACTCGTGACTCACATGCCTTTTACCGCACTTGTTGCATAAAGTATTTCTACTCGGTTTGAACTTTGATGTTTGTCAATTCTGACGGTCATATCATTGAATGAATCCTGTCGTTTTGCAAACGTGTGGCCAAAAACGGTTGGTCGTAGAAAAATAAACAAGTTTGATAAACTTTAGAAATGAGCCCATGTAAAAGATTTTAGTTGTACTAGGTTAGTATGTCTGATTCTGGGTAAGTTTGAACATAAGTACGGCCACATGATTACAAAAAAGTGTTTTTACAGATCTTCTTTTGCTGAGTAAATATATAATTATTATGTAACACGAAAATTAAACGAATGATTTTCCACAACTGTCTGATAAATCGAAACGCGTATGTTTGCGTATACTTCGATTTAGGGTTCCGTGCTGCCTATTACCGTTCAATATTGAAAGTTTTCTGAACAAAAGCTGCTACACTGGCGAGCACAATATATCTTTGCCAGCGCCAGTGGTGTGGAAACCTGAAACTTTTATATTGAAAAATACCCAGTTTGGCTTAACCGATTTTAGTGAACTCACGCTTTGAAGAACGTTTGTCGGATTGTTTGGTTTCACCTTATACCCAGATGTTTACATTAATTGTTGTATTATTAATGGTAAAGAAGTTTGAAAATATTGCCGGTATTTGCTTACTTTATATCCAGTTACAGTTAATAGTAAAAATGAAGCGCAAAAGCAGCGATCGCCTGGACGGACTAACAGATAGCGAATGGAAAACGTACGATATTTAATGATATTAAACGACATCAACACTTTTAATGATCTTGTTTGTTATTTTAATAATTACAATGCCTAGTTATTAAAATTACGATTTGTTTACTTATGTTGCATAATAATAATATGTTATTATAATTCCGATTATTAATAATGCCAGCGATATACATACATGTTAAATTCATGAACAATGGGTATATGCGGGTGATTATGATTATTACAAAGATAATTCATCGGCGAACAAGTCGAAAACTGTGCGGTGTTTTAGGCATCCAAAAATTAACCTATTTTATAGGCATACGAAATCGAAATATTGCCAAAAGTTCAAATGATGTAATTTTTGATAAACTTGTGTTAATAAACAAAACAGCTTTATTCTAGTTTACTAATTAAGAATTGCTGGAAAAAAATCTTCCATTGCCGATCTGAAACTTTGTAATACTATGTAATTAATAAACAATTTTCCTGTTCACTTCAACGCTTGAATTAAATTTTTACATTTTTTCACGACGGCGGAGGAATCTAGAAAATTCGTAAATAGTTAATTTTTAAATACTCTTATTTCCCAAAAATGATAATAATTTGTTAATAATTATAAGCAAATGTAACTTTATAATTGCTCTAATTGCTATTTTCACTATTTAATGTAGGTTTGTTTATGTAATAAATCGCTCTCTAATAGCAACAATATTGACTTCATTGTAAGAAAAATATGTTACAACATAAAATTGTTTACTGCATTATTACGTTCAATAAATTCCTCTCACTATCCCCAATTTGCTTAGTGAATTTCTATCGTCTTTTTAATTAGGTTCTCAAATCGGTATCTCAATCTGAAAATCTGGACATATCACAGTTTTGGTTTGGTTTTGAATAAAAATAAAAATTTAGCCTTTTGCCCCAGGAATTATTATTGTGTGCGTTGCAGGGATACTTAAACGTCTTTAAAGTAATTTATGTAATGCACTATATAATAAATTCTTTCAAACCTAAAGACGTTTACTACGAATTTATTGTTGAAAAGCATGAACCGCACTTATGAGATTTTAAATGTGTTAGTCAGCACTTAAAAATAAATCATGTTTTATGCAATGTAAAGTTCGTTATTTAGTTATAATATTTGTATTTGCCAAGGAAAGCTTGCTGTTAATAAGTTATTCAATGTTGTTTGCAAAAAAAAAACACATCTTAATTGTCTATATTAATAAATATGAAATACAGTAAAAGCTGGCGAGTCTCTATGATATGACAAAAAGTACGATCGAATTTCCGACTGTATATAGGAGAATTATTAAATGATTGATAAGGAATGTCGGTCGGAATCCTTTGCGTACGTTCATAATTTTTAAAACTAATCCCAAAATAAATGATCCGTCATCCCGCCTTCTATTAAGGGTTTTTTTGTCGCCATGAAGTCTATAATAATAATATTCAAGATAATTTAATTTTCTTGCAATGTTTTTTTATTTGAATTTCACGTTATTGAATTATTTTTACAAAAAACTTTATTTTAATTAGGAAAATTTTGGTCTTTATATAAGATAATCTTTAATTTAAAATTATGATGCATTTATTCTACATCTACATGGTAATTCATTAATAATTATAAATATTTTAACTGTCGAATTCTGAGCTCACAATACTCTCTTTAAGATTTAACTCAAATACTTTAAATAAAACGTGATATTTCTGAGTAAACAGAGGCTTCATTTCGGAAATCAGCAATTTGTTTTTAAATAATGAATGCATCTATTTGTTGGAAGAAATTGCAATAATAGTATATCATGCAACAAGTTTGGCAAAAGGTGTTTGTATTGTGTCGTATACTAACCCTTTGAAGAAAAATTTCCCGGAATAACCACCGTGCGTTCTGATGTTTTTTGTTTGTTAAGTTGGTACGTCTGTGGTTGACAGTCCCTCTAAGTCTTAGCGTCATAGCTTTACATTTGCGAAACTTACGTATCCAAAAATACGTATGTTGGTAATTTTTTACAACTTTAAATATGGATTTAAGTTTGCGCAAATTTATGTTATGCCAGTACCGTAGAACGCAAAATTTGAAATTTGTTTCTAGTTCTGTTTATTAGTAATGCATAATGCATAAAAAACTTGAAAAGTCTAGTTTTAAAATATTCATCAGATGGAATAGTATTAATTAAAAAATTATATTTTGTTTTCGCCGGACTTGGACGAGTCATATTTGCGTTTATGTTTATAAAAAAATCATTTTTCTTTTTCAGAATTAATCATGCCACCAGAGTCCAGTGGGTCATTGAAGGAATATTCAATTGCAGTGCTACTTCTATACTATGTTGTAATAATTCAGATGTAATAGTTAATAATACTAATAAAGGACCATGTTCTGAAGGATGATTGCATTTTTTGATAACTTTGATTTTTACTTTTTTTTAATGCAGTTAATATTGAAATTTTAATATTAATTTTTAGACCCTTTAACTATATAGTAGGTTAAACTATTTTCTCTGCTCCCGTCTGTAAAATGTCTAATTTTACACCGATCTAGAGTGGGGAAGCGCCACTTTACCACGCGAGTTCCTTGTCTCGCGGATCCGAATCACTTCGGAAATTTTTGGGATATTACCACATGGGTTTGGGAGCAATCAGATGTTTTTGGCGATTTACCGCACGGCTTGAATTTTGACGTTTGTGAAGTGACGGTCATGTCAGTAAACGTTTATTAAACACTCGCTCCGCTCGTGCCAATTAAACTCGTGACTCACATGCCTTTTACCGCACTTGTTGCATAAAGTATTTCTACTCGGTTTGAACTTTGATGTTTGTCAATTCTGACGGTCATATCATTGAATGAATCCTGTCGTTTTGCAAACGTGTGGCCAAAAACGGTTGGTCGTAGAAAAATAAACAAGTTTGATAAACTTTAGAAATGAGCCCATGTAAAAGATTTTAGTTGTACTAGGTTAGTATGTCTGATTCTGGGTAAGTTTGAACATAAGTACGGCCACATGATTACAAAAAAGTGTTTTTACAGATCTTCTTTTGCTGAGTAAATATATAATTATTATGTAACACGAAAATTAAACGAATGATTTTCCACAACTGTCTGATAAATCGAAACGCGTATGTTTGCGTATACTTCGATTTAGGGTTCCGTGCTGCCTATTACCGTTCAATATTGAAAGTTTTCTGAACAAAAGCTGCTACACTGGCGAGCACAATATATCTTTGCCAGCGCCAGTGGTGTGGAAACCTGAAACTTTTATATTGAAAAATACCCAGTTTGGCTTAACCGATTTTAGTGAACTCACGCTTTGAAGAACGTTTGTCGGATTGTTTGGTTTCACCTTATACCCAGATGTTTACATTAATTGTTGTATTATTAATGGTAAAGAAGTTTGAAAATATTGCCGGTATTTGCTTACTTTATATCCAGTTACAGTTAATAGTAAAAATGAAGCGCAAAAGCAGCGATCGCCTGGACGGACTAACAGATAGCGAATGGAAAACGTACGATATTTAATGATATTAAACGACATCAACACTTTTAATGATCTTGTTTGTTATTTTAATAATTACAATGCCTAGTTATTAAAATTACGATTTGTTTACTTATGTTGCATAATAATAATATGTTATTATAATTCCGATTATTAATAATGCCAGCGATATACATACATGTTAAATTCATGAACAATGGGTATATGCGGGTGATTATGATTATTACAAAGATAATTCATCGGCGAACAAGTCGAAAACTGTGCGGTGTTTTAGGCATCCAAAAATTAACCTATTTTATAGGCATACGAAATCGAAATATTGCCAAAAGTTCAAATGATGTAATTTTTGATAAACTTGTGTTAATAAACAAAACAGCTTTATTCTAGTTTACTAATTAAGAATTGCTGGAA